GGGGGGGGGGGGCAGGGCTGGCTGAACATCTGGGAGAATAGCACTGCCTCTGACTACATGTGTTCCACCCCAATCTCTGGCCTTCTTTAGCTTTAACTAACCAAGATAAGGCTGCAGCCCAACCAGATTGCGGAGGAACAGGCCCACAATCAAGGAGATCTACACTAGTCCTCATAAAGAATTCACTCCAGCCTGGTCAGTGTGGCTCAGCTGGTTGGAGTGTTGTCACGTGCATTGGATGGTTGGTCACAGGTTCAATTCTTGCTCAGGGCACAAACCTAGGTTGCGGGTTCGATCCTTGGTTGGGGCACAAACGGGAGGCAACCAATCGATATGTCTCTCTCGCTCTCCCTTCTTCCCTTTCTAAAGTCAGTTTTTAAAAAAGAATTCACTCCAATGACACACAGTGGCCCCCGCAACTCTGGTGGGGAATATCCTTGTCTCTGTAAAAGCCCCTCAAACCCCTCAACAGGGAGGGCGACTCCAGAGCCCACCCCCAGTCCAGGAAAGAAACGCGCAACCACCGCTATTTTATTTTTCTTTTTAATTCTTCTGAAGGATATACACCACATATCCCATGAGCAAGAAAGCGCATTCAATGTGTTTATAAGCCAAACAGTCACTTTGTTTAAGCAAACACAAGTACAAAGTAAAATAAAACCACAAAATAATGAACTGCATGTTCATAACATACAAAAATCGCCGCCTACTCAGTAGGTAACTGCAACATTCCAACTCCTGAATATATTTATAAATTTACATTTTCAGTTAAAAAAATAGACTTTTGAGAGTTCAGATTTTGTTTTAGATTTTTTTTTTCTTCTTACATTCTGGAGAACCGAGGCTCTGCTCAGCCCTCTTCCTCATTTTGCTTCAAAAGCGTCCCCCGAGTCATCACTCCCTGCCCCCCTTAAGGCTAGAGGTGAGCACGTCCCTTAAACTGGCACATGTCAAGCTGTCAGCAAGGCGCATCGCACAAAAGGCACCAAGACTTGAAACTTTTTAAACTAAAAGGACGAGAAAAACCACTTTCAGAAAAAAAGAAGAAAAACCAAACCATGTTTTGCCACATGTGAGAGTACAGTCGGGCAGTATTTACAAAAGGTTAACGGAACATCACTCTGACACATGCTCTGATTAATACCAAGGACTGTTTCAAAAAAGGCTTCAAACTTAATCACAGCCTCATCACAAATGAAGGATCACCATTGGTTTGCTTGGCTTTTCTTTTTTTTTGTTTTTGTTTTTTCCCAAAGTGAGGCCCTAACTCCAAATAATACAATAGAATATGCAAATTATCTTTCACATCAAGAGGACCCCAAGAGAAACGAAATCCATGGCACAGACACTGTACAAGGGTACGGGGCTGGGCTCTGAGGGGCCCAAACCCCATTTCTGCCAATTTGATTTTCTAGCGTTGAAGGGAGCGAGGGGTCAGGCATACGGCGGAGATGATACTGAAATGATATATATCCAAAATCCATGCAGATCAAGTTCTTTGGGTAGAGGTGAAGAACTTGGACATGGCTGTTTCAGGCAGCTGAAGTCAAAGGGAGCAGAGGAGGAAGGGGAAGAGGGCAGAAAGGATTGTTGGCCAACAGAATTTCCACGCTGACCCTGGGGCCAAGCAGAGGGGGAGGACTGGCTCTGAGAACCTCCATCTGGCCTCCTGAGAGGAAGCCCTCCTAGGGCCATCTCCTCCTGTCCTTTAAGTCTCTTGTGTTTCTTTTTTCTCCCTTTCCCCTGTTTTCCTCTAGCAAATTTCAATTGTCCTGGGAGAAAAGGTGGTTGTCATGTCCGAAAGCCCCGTGGAGGAGCTGAAGGAGTTGGTGACAGCTGAGGAATGGAAGCTGCCAACTTGGAAAGCAGGGGGAACGGAGGAGTATGTGGTGGCCACGGAGGGCGAGGGGAAGCCACTGTGCACAGGGGATGGGTAGGTCGAGGAGCCCGGAGAGGAATAGGAGGTGGGCACAGGTGATGGGTACGAGGTGGTGGCTGGGGATGGGTAAGAGGTAGTGACCGGGGAGGTGTAGGAGGTAGCCACGGGTGACGAGTAGGAAGAGAGGGACGGGGCCCCCGCTGAGGAGGCCACACCAACACCACCTTTGTCTGCCTTTTTGTCTTTCTGCCGCAGGTGGATCTTGGTATGCCTCTTGCGTTCATCGCTCCTGGCAAACTTTCTCCCGCAGATGTCGCAGGCGAAGGGCTTCTCGCCCGTGTGGGTGCGGATGTGGGTGGTGAGGTGGTCGCTGCGGCTGAAGTTGCGCATGCAGATGCGACACTGGAAGGGCTTCTGGCCGGTGTGGATGCGAATGTGGCGGGTGAGCTCATCTGAGCGCGAGAAGCGGCGGTCGCAGGACTCCACCGGGCAGGCGTAGGGGCGTTCGTGGGGGGGCGTCTTGCTGGGCCGGTTGGGGTACTTGCGCATGCGGCTAGGTTTGATGAGCTGGGACTGGTAGGTGGTGTTGAGGGCCTTTAGGTCCTGGGAGCCCGACTGCGTGGCAAAGGCCTTGATGGTGGAGAGGGGCGTGAGCGACGGCTGCTGGGTGCGGCCCTCCAGGCCCTGGAAGGGCTTCTGGTCTGGGGTGCCCAGGCCCAGGTCCCCCTGCTGTTGTGGAAACAGATAGTCTGGGATCATGGGGACCTGGAAGCTGCCCTTGGCGGCCGGGTAGGCGGGAGGCGGGTACTGGAGCGCGGTGCCCGCGGGGCCCGGGAAGGCCTGGCTCTGCGGCTCGGGGAAGATGTCGGCGTTGGGTGTGGGGAAGGTGGGCGCCGCTGAGTAAATGGGGCTGCTGTCGCTGGACTGCACCGCGCAGCTCAGGGGTGGGCTCTGGGAGGAGGAGGAGGAGGAGGAGGAGGAGGAGGAGGCCGCCGGAGACGGTGCCGAGGAGGAGGTGGCGGGTGCGTTGGTCATGCTCACGAGCCCGCTGACCAGGCTGAAGAGGGGCTCAGGCCACAAGGTGTTGCCACTGTTGGGTGCGGGCTCCAGAGAGAAGCGGCCAGTGTAGGTGATGGGGGGCAGCCGCGTGGTCTGGCTGGGGTAGCTCGTCTCCACCAGAACCTTCTCGTTACTCAGCGAGATGTCAGGAAAGGACTCTGGCAAGGGAAAAGAGAGGGAGGAGGCTTGGTTACCGCCGAGCGACCGCAGGGGGACGCGGGGGAGCGGAGCGGCCGGCCCGAGAGGTCGGCGCGCCGCCGCGCCGGTTAATAATTGATCGCAGCAGATTGCAATGTTCCTGGGCGCGCGCCAGCGGCGGAGCCCGATTCAACAACAGCTGACGCAAACACGAGAATCCCCCTCCGCTGCGGCTCCCGGCGCTCCGCCGCGGCGGCCGCGCGGCCCCGGGATTC